TCCCCGGAGCCGCTGCTGAAGGCGGAGGGGGAGCAGAAGGAGCTGGACTCCAAGAGCCCCGACGAGATCGTCCTGGAGGAGAGCGACTCGGAGGAGGCGAAGAAGGAGGGAGGCGCGGAGGACTGGAAGAAGCGGGAGGAGAGCCCGGAGAAGAAGCCCTGCCGCAAGAAGAAGACGCGCACGGTGTTCAGCCGCAGCCAGGTCTTCCAGCTGGAGTCCACCTTCGACATGAAGCGCTACCTGAGCAGCTCGGAGCGGGCCGGCCTGGCCGCCTCCCTGCACCTGACAGAGACCCAGGTGAAGATCTGGTTCCAAAATCGCCGCAACAAGTGGAAGAGGCAGCTGGCGGCCGAGCTGGAGGCGGCCAACCTCAGCCACGCCGCCGCGCAGCGCATCGTCCGCGTCCCCATCCTCTACCACGAGAACTCGGGCGCGGAGGGGGGCGCGGGGGGCGGCGGAGCCCCCGGCACCCAGCCCCTGCTCACCTTCCCTCACCCCGTCTACTATTCCCACCCCGTGGTCACCTCCGTGCCGCTCCTGCGGCCCGTGTACCCCTCGGCGGGGGGTGCTGGGAAGAAAGTCACGAAAATTTAGGGGGAAAAAAATGGGGGGAGGGAAAGGAAAATAAGGAAAATGAAAGCGCGAACTTGTAGAGAACCCTGGAGCTGTCACACATTTTGTAAACGTGGACAAAAACCGCGATGGTCTCTGTGGCTTTAGTTTTATTTTTGTAAAAAAAAAAAAAAAAAAAAAAAGGTAAAAAAAAAAAAAGGAGAAGAATGATCCCAGGCCACTCCTCGAGATTTGCCAAAAACTAACAGGAAGCTGAATTTCTGTTCCTTTCGGACTTCTCCTTCTGCCTCCAAATTGTTCAGACTCCTGATCCTGTCGTGACTCAAACTTCATCGACCGCGGCTTTTCATTTAAGCAGACCTCGGTACCGGTTTGCCTCTTTGCTTTCCCATGTTTTGTACCTTTCGGTTTCTGTCATGGGACTTTATAACGAGCAAGAAATACAGCCTCAAAGTGAACGGTTAAACACACCCGCACGCTTTGAGTGACCCTTATTTATTATCGTTTACTTAGATATTTTTAATTCTTGTTTATAATTCTTCCTTTCCTGGTTGTTGGGTTGTTTGGGGTTTTTTTTCCTTGTAAAGTTATTTCGGTATTTTGGGAAAAAAAATCTGTACCCTTTTGCTTTCTTTTGTAATACTAATTATGATTATTATTATTGTACTTTTGAACTGTGCAATATTGTACGACGATTCTTAAAGCACTGCTTTTATTTGAATGGTGAGGAAAGGGGTTTTAGCATTGTATAATTGCATTCGTTCATGTTGTACAAAATAAAATAAAAAAGAATTAAAAGCGAAGGAAAGTGAGAAGAGAGGAGCAGGGCATGGGAATAAGCATCAGCCCGGTTTATGCGAATAAATAAGGGAGATTCGGTGAGCTGGGCGCTTTAAGTGAAGGACAATCAACTTTAGGGTAATTTTAATTTATTTGATATGATGTACAGTTTTCTTCTAAAGTCCACCGACTATGTGGATTTTAATAGGCAGAAATCAAGAGAGGAGTGGACTCCTCTAGTCTCTCTCTGTCTTGGTGTCTGCTCACCTGTTGTCTGACAATTGTTTGCTGTCTTCCCAAGGGTTTGGGTTGGTTTCTTTTCTTTATTTTATTTTAATTCCCCCCCCCCCCCCCCC